ATTCATGACTGAAAAATTTTTCATTCGGTGAAGCAGTGGGAGGAGAACGTCTCTAGAAGTTCTTTCGTAATAAAGTCAATTTTTTTGTCTTTTCAGATCGTAACTGGCCACTTTTAAAGGATTTGAACGGCGAAGCTACTTCAAAAGAAGTCGAAAATCCAAAATACACTTTTTAGAACAAAGTGTCTCTTGACCTCCACCTCATCTTGAATCGAAGTACGAAGCTATAATCTCACGATATTTATAGGTCGAGTGATTATCGACGTGAAGAGTTCTCATGTGACGAAGTTTTAAAACGATTTAAGAGCATTCAATTTAGTCCCACATAGATCAATAATAGAACGGGGCGTTTACATGCATACCACCCAATTTATGTACATATCTAAAAACTAAACTTCTATTTTTTATATTTATACAACCTAAATATTTCATTACCCATCAAAATTTATGAGCAAAACATGATTCTGACCTTCTAATATAGCATTAAAATTTACATGATCAAGGAAATGTTTTTGAGATAAAAACACAATGTTATCTTAAAATTCTTATATATTATATATTTAATGAAATTAGTTAAGCTCATACATTCTACACTAGATGGCTATAGCTCTCTTGTTTCTAGGTGACCATTGAATTCAAATTGGCGTATAAAACATTTTCTTGACTTCATGACCAACTGCAATGCAATACGCCTTACAAAGGGGTTATTTATTATTATTATTGATATGCTATCAATAAAATTTTATCATCTGACATGAATTTTAAGACATGACAGGAATCTCAATGTGAGTTTTTGAGCAAGAAATATTCAAACATCGGTAAAAAATCATCAAGAACTCTGATTTCAGCAAACTTACAGTTAAACTGATCGACTCGATAAGAAAAACTCAATGTTACCAAAATTGACCCAATTTGAACTAAATCAAGCCCAGATCAAGGAATTAAACCGTTTTTAGTAGTTTTTTTGACACATTTGGAATGTCAGACGTATGTCTATTCTGACGAGTCTATAGTCAAATTGAACGTCTTGACAAGAAAAATCCAACAAACTTAATATCACTTAATTTTGACATCATTAAGACAATCAAATGTTCATCAAATATCGTTCAATTGAGGAAAGCTCTGAGTTGTTTGATCAATGTAATTTATATTCCAACATTTATTGCACCCATAACTCTATAAATAGAGTCTCACCCCTCTCGTGAGGTGGGGAGGATAGCTTGAGCTTTGAGACAAAACTTGAAGCTTTGAGAAGAAATTAAAGTACAACACCACTCATACCCCCATCGTTCATTACCGACAGTTTTCGACCGCCGTGGAGCACTCCTGTTGTCGTCAACCACCACTGACCGTCGTTGATCACTGCCAACCACCGTCGACCACCACCGACCCGACGCCGCCAATCGCTATCAGTCACCACCAGTCAACGTTGTAATTTGGAAAACCTACTAACCCTTCCCCACCTGTAGAACAAGTGGTTGCAACTGTTATCGTCTTTTTATTGTAGAACTCTTCAGCTGGGTCACTCCCCGTGGTTTTTTCTTTTTCGAGTTTTCCACATAAAAACTTCTGGTGTCATTATTATTTATTTTTTTTCTAAATGTGTGTTGAATCTTCTTATGATGCTGAGACAACAATCTACTACTCTACCACCAAAATTTTTTTAGCACGCATCAGTTTGGCATCGTCTGTGGAAAACTTCAATCCCACTACTAAAGTACTTGCGAGACTTAATATATGGTCACCATTTACAATATTCTTGACAAAGGAGCATCTCGCTCCAACACTCATAGTTATAGGAAGCAGTTATGAAGCCAAGGCTGACATGCTTCTTCATCTTCCCACCCTGGAAGACATTATCTTGCCAACGAAGGCATCTTGGGTTCTTCTATAGAAGATTGACTGTGAGGGGGGAATGGGAGGGGGTTGGTTTAAGCTCTTTTCTTCCCCTCATTCTGAGCATTTTTTGGCATCCTCCAAGAGCTGGTCATCTTCTTCCTTGAGAAAGAGCTTGTAGCTCCTTTATTCTTCTTCTACTTTTAAGCGAAAGCTTGGGAAGCTTTCCTTAAGGTGAAGAGCTTGAAGAAAAAGTAAGAGCGAGAGCTTCTACTTCCTTTGCCCTTCTTCTTTTCCCACAAGAAACCCTTCTCCTCCTCACGTCCTCCTTCCTCCACCACATACCTTGAGCAAGAAAGGAGATCTTCTTCGGGAGGAGCTTGGATAGGAAGGGAGTAAGGTCTCTCTTCTCCTATGCTAAAGAAGCGCTTCATCCTAGCTTGGGAAGGGATCGCCAAAGCCCTACCAAAACTTCACCGGAGCTTGAAACTTCATCAGAGTTTTGTCGAACTCTCCTTCTAAAGGAGAGCTTTTTTGTTTTTTGGAGAATGAGTGGCACGAACCTCGTCAAAGCTTCAACGGCCAAAGTGATCCAACCGATAATTCCAAATAAATCTCATTTATTCACTTTAAAGGGGAAGAGAAGAATGAATCAAATTCTAGTGTTGTCATGGACTGAAGTCTCAATGATAATTCCAACCTCTACAGCAGCCGACCACCCTCGATCACCACTTGTCATCGATCACACTCTGCTGCCCCTGCTCACCATTGTTAGTGAATTATATTGTGAAACAAAGTATCTGGAATATGGTGTGATGAAGAATCTTGAATGAGGTGTTGCTAAGCATCTTGAATATGATGCAGCATACAACACCACATTACATATCATACGATAACTGTTGGTGACAACCACTTATAAATGTTTATTCTTAATACAAAGGCTTTCTCCAGACCCCTAAATTTTTCTAAATGTCGTACACTGACAAGTGTTGTCTTTAGCATAAAATAATAAACTCGAGAAAGGGAAGTGTTGCAACAACCAACAAGTGTAACACCAGCTGTAACCTCTTTAATCAACTAACTCTCTTGTAGTGATCTGCTACTACACATGTGACCGGATACTATTGTAACTTCTCACAATGCTCTATTGGCTAACTTTTCTCATTATAATGTTATGCTACAAATTATGTGGCCAACTGACATTCTTGCAACAACTTACTATGGTCTATGTGATCAATTACTATCACATCTACCCACTACGACTTACATGCCCAATTGCTATCATTACAACATTTCGCTATAGTTTTTGTTGTTAATTAAAGATCTTGTACTGACCCACTATTACCTATTTAATTTGTTAATACTGTAACTGCCCACTATGACTTACATGACTATGTGTTGTCATTACAACTTCCCTCTACAATCTATATGACTAACTAATGCTCTTGCAACAACTTGTTATGACTTATGTAGCTAATTACTACTATAGATACCAATACGACCTACATGACTAACTGCTATCATTACAACGACTGCGGACAATTGGCGCTCTTGCATTGGGCCACTGCGACCTATGTGGCTAATTATTGTTATAGATGCCTACAACAAACTTTGGCTAACTGTTATCATTATAATCTTCCACCGTAGCCTTTATGACCAACTTACACTCTTGTAGAGACCCACAATGACCTATGTGACCAGTTACCGCTATAGTTTCCTACTAAGATCTATGTGATCAACTGTTATCAACATTTCACTACAATATCTATGGCCAACCAACACTTTTATAATTGTCAATTACAACAACCTCTCAGGTCAACTAACACTATTTCAGTTACCAACCATGACTAAAGTGACCAATTACAACCTATAACCATTTATTATTGTAGCTTCACATCAAGACCTCTGTGACCAACCGACACTCTTGCAACGACCCACCACGCCCTATTTGGCCAGCTACTGCTGTAGTTTCCCATTACGACCTGTATGGTCAACTTTTGGCATTAAAACCTTCTAGTACACTTATGCGACCAACCAATGCTCTTATAATTACCAATTTTGACGACCTCTCAGGCTAATTAATGCTACTGCAGTTGCCAACCATGACCAATGAGACCAGTTATGACCTATCTAGCTAACTGCTACTGCAACCTCCAATTACGACCTATATGATAAGTTACTACTATAACTTCTCACTATGTTCTCTGTGACCAATTGATTGTCTTGCTACTAGCTTTGACCCGTGCGACCGGTCAGCTATGCAACCGTTCAATGTGTTCTATGCGGCCAACTGATTCTCCTTCAAGTACTAACTCCGATCTATGTCACCAATTAGTACCACAACTTCCCACTACGATCTCTATAACCAACTGATGTTATTGCAACTACCAATCACGACCTATGTAATTAACTACGTTTGCGCGTTCATTTACTATTACAACTTCCAACTATGACATCCGAGGCCAAATAACATTGTTGTAGTCTTCAACAACTGACTACAACATTTATGGCTAATTATTGCCTTTAAAGCAACCACTATGACTTTTGCGGCTCACCCTTGCTATTGTCAACAACAACTGTATTTGTTGTAGCATAATTATAATAATTAAAGTTGAATGATGATTGTACACTTGTAACTATTAACATTATAATTACATATTCTCACTTATAATCATATAATAAACTATTTTAATCGCGCCAAATCTCATGTTTTTTTTTTTTTGCAAAAATTTTCACATGAAAATTTTGTTGACTCATTTTTTCTTATTATTTATAAGTGTTCTGATTTTTTTCGTGTACAACAACACTAACAAATTCGAATGTTTTAACACAATAGTGTTTTTTAAGATTCTCATTGTCGTGAGCATCCAAAAACCCTAAAAGGCCTACGGACATTGGAAAATGGATGCTAAAATCTAGGAAGGAAACTTTTGCCCCCATTTAAATAATTAAGAGGATAAAAGCACCATCTTGGCTTTTATCGCAGGCTGAATTCTTTCTTTTTCATCGACCGGTTCTTTTCTACAGCGGTTAAGCGGCCTTAACGCATAGAAAGGAATTAAATGCTCCTCGAATGCCAGACAGATGCCGCTCCACCTCTTCCTCCTCCAATGCCATTATTATTGATCTGCCAGATGTAGGGATTAAAAAAGATAAATCGTCGTCACTATTTGGGCGAATTGAATAGCAGAAAAAATTGTTTTTTTTTATTTATTTTGTGGCCTGAATCCGAATCGAAGCCATCAATTGATCGCCTCTTCATCGGTCCCACGTCATGTGGGAGCGTTACCGACACTCTTCCATCCGTTTCTGCTCACGAGCTCTTCTTTATTGCAGACGGCTGTGATTTTTTCCTATTCTCTTCCGTTCTATGATCTGTTTTTTTTGATAACGCCGGGAAAATATCAAGGGAGAGTGATAGCGAAGTACGAGTAATTTCGAAAGATTTTACCTTTTTCACACTTTTATTTTTCTGATTATTTAAAGGGTTTGGCTAGGGTTTCTCGGTGGTACGGGGAAAAAGTTTTGTTCTTTTCTTAGCTTTTGGGATTTGAGTGGTTCTTTCTTGTTTGAGGGAATTCGGGTAAAGGTGACTGTTTTGACCAGTCTAGGGAGGGATTTGGGATGGGCTTCGTGAGCACTTTGTTGGGTACTTTCGGATTTGGGATTGGAGTTTCTGCTGGGATTGTCATCGGCTATTATCTCTTCATCTACTTCCACTCCACTGATGTCAAGGTATGCTGTTCTGCTACTCAAATTTTTTTTTTTTTTGGCTATTTATTTGTTTGTTTTTTTGTTTTGAAATGCATCAATTCGGTTGTGTATTATTTCTCGGTGCGTGTTTACTGCTTATTTGAAAACTCTTAATTTGATAGATATTTATCTGCAACGAATGATTATGGGGAAATAAGGATTTAGTTGTGATATTTATGGTTGAAGGCATATATTTGGCGCAAGCATTGGCCCTTGCAATAGTTTACAAACTTGAAGGAAAATGATACATCTCACTTGATTTCTGAGTGGGAAACTGAATTCTTTGTGGTGTTTATAGCTGAAAATTTCATATTTCTTTACTATATTGATGAATTTTTTTTTATTGGTTATGAGTGGGCATCCTCGTAATTCAGGAAAAAAAAATTATGGTTGGAAACAATAGTCTAATTCTTTTGAGTCAGTGAATGGAGACCATGCTGAGCTTTCAGTAGGTTTTACATTATTTTAAATCACCTGAGATTATTTGGGACAATCCTACATTAAGGATTTGGAATTGGTAGTTATTGATATTCTAGTGGTTAGCTATACTTTTGGATTTAATGTTCCTCTTGCACATGATTTTGGTCATTCATGTAACGTGGATTCCTTAAATGGTCAAATTAGAAGGTTGTTTAGTTACTTCATCATCATGGAATGCTGTTCTAGACAGTTTTAGGCTCTATGAGATAAAATAAAATAAATTTATGGCTATGTATGTGCAATGTTATCTATTAGTGTCAAAGTTTCAAACTATAGGCTCAAGTTGTGTTGGTTTTGAAGGTTAACATATTTTTGGCATTAAATATGGAAATTTCTTTTGTTAGAAGGTGATGTGTGTTAGCTGTAGGGGATGCTTGATAATTAACAAAAATAGCTAAAAAATTATTGCGATCACATTAACTATATACCGACAACCGCTACCTATAAGAAAAACCAACAATTAAAATTTTGATTTGCAATAGATCATAGTTACCACCATTTTGGTTAGTACCTTGCCATGGGGTGAATTTATTAAATGTATTTACTTAGAAATATTTGAAATAAATGATTGTATGGTGTTTGTATTTTCATGCTCAACTTGAATTTTTTCGAGGTCTTTTTTGTCATGCTTGGACCTTGTTTTGCAAATTTAAAGTTGCTTAGGTTCTATCAGTGGTCGACTATTTTTTAGCACCGCTCTACATATAACTCGAGGAAATTAACACTAACACACTTGATTAATCGCTTTGTAAATGCATTATATATAATTTTTTTGGTTAAATTTTCTTTCATTGATTACATTGAGAGTTAAAAGGATATGAAGAATTATGAAGTGTTGTAAAGAGGTTAATAAACAAAATATGTACAAAATCTTTTGATGATTTATATAATGCGTTTAGTACCAAGGAGCGATAAAAGAAGTCATAAGTTAGTTGAGGTAGGTGACAATAGGTATTTCGTTTTTGATCAAGTTGGATGCATCAAAAGTGATGACAATATGCATTAATCAAATGATGAAATTGAGGGAAAATATTCATATACTTTTATAAACATTATATGAGAGCTTTGAGGAATAGTCTTTTAATAAGAGCATACTGGGCAAAATACTTAGTCATGTTACGTGCCAGAATTCATGTTGATAATGAGAGATGTTTTAATTATCTTAACTATGAATGACATCCTTGCATTCTTTGCTAAGCGAGTAGGAAACTCATGATTTTTTTATGGAAATTTTTCAAAGAAAAGCCACGGGTGACACAGATTGTCTGTTTCTGAACAGCGGGATCCCGAAGAACCCTAAAATGAATCTGAAAATAAGGTGATAAACGAGGAAGAAGTTAACCCATTCCATCAAGAAAATTGGACAAATCAAGAAAATGAAATTCTTGAGGAAAGAGACCACAAATTTCATTGGGTTTGAAGATTTGATGTTGGAATCATTGTCGATGCATGTGTACGGTGTGTATGATAATGAATATTTTTGGGCTCTAATAGTGGATATGCTCAGAAGATATTAGGGAGAGCAATTTTCTGGAGTGAAAAAAATTGAATTTGCAGTTGATAGAAGAGTTGATGGTGAAGTTTCTCATGCTGGAAGGGATTTGCAGAATGATCAAACTAGATGATATGCTAATTCTACTTCTCGCAGCTATCAATATCATACTGATATACATGATAGTATGGATCAGACATCATTACTTCGATAACAACTAAGTTTGAAAGCTTAGTCTTTGCATTCTGACTTTGATATGAGACAACTGAATATCTTAGAGTAAGAACTGCACTTATTAGTTCTGGTTTTCAAGAAATTGATGCCAAGTGGATTGAGATTCTTCAAAATTGGAGCTAGAAACCCATTGATTCAGTTTCAACATCGATAATGTTAGAAAATGCTTATTTCATTGGATTTAACCTATCAGGGGATTTGAGCGACACCATCCCTTTCAATGTTTTTGAGTTGAGTGTTCATTATGAAATAGATTCTAGAATTGCTCAAAATGAGGGAAACTTTCTAACCTTGGGAGAATGACGCAGGAGTTAGAGATTTATTTCAGTGTATATGTCTTGATTTATGTGTTTTTGTTTGTTATTTGTCTCTTTGTTTTAGCATGACCTACTTGTAATTAAGAGAGCCTAGTCTTTATAAATAGGGGCTGTTTTGTGTGGGTTGGGAAGAGGGGTTTTTGGACTTGTGTTTGTTTTTTCTTCAAAGGCTTCGGTCCATCCAAATCTAGCCCCTGCAGTTGAACCCTGGATTGGCAACCAGGTGATGTTTAGCCATTATCTTGTTCTTCATGTTATTAATTGTTTTTCCCAGTTCTTTCCCCTATTTTTGTTAAATTTAGTAACCCCCTTTTGCTGGTATCAATGGGGCCTTGCGTTGTTGGAACAATCTCCACTAATAGTGGGTATGAGTTACAATGGACGCCTCTCCTTGAACTTAAAGTAGACATTAATTCAAGCAGATAAAAAATTGGCTAACACTACTATCGTGGTGCAAGAAGGTCAGTAATGTAAATGCATTAGTCATTCTCTTAGAGGTGAAAGTGACATGATCTTGAGGCGGAATACAAGATAACACATGAATCTTATGGATATGAGCCGGTGATGACCTTGCGTTAGCAATCAATTGGCGGTGGCTAGTCTTTCTCATGAATAGAAAGGGGTGAATTAGCTGACTTGAGACAAATCATGATATTCTTTCCTTTAAATAATGGGGGATGGACCAGGCTGCTTGAAGTTGGCGACAAGGGGAAAGAATAATCTCCTTCTTGGGAAGAGGAGGGCTATACTATTTTAAACTTGTGATAAAAGAGGGGAAGAGTAATTTATCTTCTTGTAACAACGGGATTATACAACCTTACAATAATGATGTAGGGAGATTTGGGAGCATCATATCCCTCGATGGAAACTCTTAAGTGATGAATAGAGCTTGGGAATTATCTACAAATTTGAATTATTTTGGATGCGGGCTTGTAGAGAAGATGCCACGTTTGACTAGTTGATTGGGGTTATGATGGTTCACATACATTCAACACACTTAACTGTTTTGGGTTAGTTTTACTAGTTCAAGCTCCAAACATTCTCGAATTCTTATGCTCGTGCTGTTGGAATTGTCTTGATAAGGCAATCATATGAACTCTAAATTTGTGTTTCTTGGAAGTTTTTGGTTCCTAAATAAATTTGTGGTTAGTTCATTTCTTTTGAGTTGATTTAATTTTCCTGGGATTTATGCGTTGCACCAAATTTTGCTTGGGAAGATGAAAATTCTTTATACCCCAAAAAGTTATATTATTGATTGGTCTAAACCAATTAATTTAATTATCAAATTAAGTTTTTAAGAAGATGTATAAATGCAAAGCTTTTTGTTTAGATAAGATATGTGTGTGTGTGTGTGTGTGTGTGTGTGTGTGCACATACACACACATATACATATATTTATTTGATATTGAAGTAATTTGATTGACATATATATACATACATTTATACATTTTATGAAAAAGCCCAAGGGCTGATATATTAAAGATAAAGATATAGATATGTTTGTATGGGTGGACCTAAACACTCAACCCACACGGTACACCACACATAAAAAAATGTAAAAGATCGGTACATATAGAAATAAAAAGAACCCAAAAATCACCCGGGTGCTGAAAAAGTGTGGGTCATCCCAATCTAGTCTTGCCTCTGACTTCAGTTCTCGGTAGGGATCCAGCTAGCAGATTGGTAAGGTGCTGACCATTATCCGTAGTAACCAAAGTATAATCCATAAGACTCCTGAGCTCTATTAGATCTCCATTCTTCTTTCTTCCTCCTGGAAGTGTAAACCTGTCATTCCTCCGAAAAATTCGCTTGATGGGGTAGAGCTGAAGCAGAAGGATTACCAATAGTAATACCCACAATAGGTTCTACAATATGTGAAGTATGACTTATCGCTAGACCGGATACTTCTTGAAGAAGTGGAGCTGCGAGCTCTCCTGATTATCAGTCCGAACACTATCATTTATAAGTAATAGTCCATGTATTGTTTTGTATGGAGTTTGTAGGTGCCAGCATCGCATCACTCGCAGTAACAATAACATCAACAACAGTGTCATTGGGGGTCCTCAGGTGCAATAGACACCTCCTGTCTAGTAGTATCCTCATGTGGAACTAAAATTTCCACAGCAGTGGGGTTAGACCCATCCTTATTAACTAGAACCTTAGATTTCAGATTAAGATGAAATTTGTTGCATTTAGCAATGATATGAACAAACATGTTACAGTAGACACAATATGAGGGTTTGTGTTCTATGATGATTTGTTGCCAATAACCATTATGGGATGTGCCCAGCCAAACTTCAGTAACATCATGTAAAGTAATATCCCTTTTCACAAGTATTCTGGCCACTGAGAGTCTGGTTAGGTTGAAAGTAGACAGATCTAGTTTCAAAGGATCTTCAAGGATGACCCTGATAGAGTAGAGAACTTGATGGTGAAAAAAATGCAGCTTGAGACCAGGT